ATATAAATGTAATGGCCTGATGAGAATTTATTGAAAGTATACGTATGCTTGCGTATCTTGCGTTTTTTAATGTGTAGTAGAAAAGCAAAGAACACAACAGATATGCATGAATTGATTTTTGTCCCAATTCTAGCCCTCTATGTTCATTTTATAGATAAGTAAAAACTCATTGCCGTGTCCTTACGTAAAAGTCAACGATCTGTGATGGGTTGCGGTCGAAAAATGAAGGGAAGTTGGTACGCAAGTCGAGTCAGACCAACCGTTGTAGGCGAGATCCTCATTAGGGAACTGGGTTAAGTAGGCCAGCTGAACGCCTACATTCTTTATTCATTTTCAAAAGTTCACTGAAATGCTAAAAATGGAAGTTCTGAAAATTTCTCTGAAGACCTAAGAAGCTCATTAAAAGACAGTGAAGGTTAAAGAGCTCCGTCTGCTTTCCACTTAATGATTTGGTGTTTAGAGCTTAAAGGGTCGCAGCGGTCATTTTCTATGAGCTGCATAGTTCTCTTAGCGCTAAGTTAGCTACATGAGATTACTTTTCTCTTCCTTAATGACTAATTAATTCGGGGCATATTATTGATTTGGGATACAAATCCCAGAATAAATTAGTAGTCACCGGCCAAAGTCAACATGGAATGCCCCTTCCTTCTTTCATTTTCGGACAGTTATGACCACATTTTTTGTTGTTATGCAATAAGAAAATTTTGGCGCTTCCTCTTATTTTCTCGAGCCGTACTATTAGGTCGAGTTGACGTTTAAAATATGACTGAATTCAGATTACTAGTCGAGCTGAATAGATAAAGATAATTGGGGCTAAAACATCCCTCAGAATGCCAGACGTTTAAAGTGGAATAGGTATGCAGAAAACGAGGAGTCTTCCATGATTAAAAATGTTTGCTTAGTGACCATTTTGTCCACGAAAGATATACATTGTTCGAAATGTGCAAACATAATTTAAGACATGAAGATTTTAATTGGGATTTAATTGTTCAGGGATCTAAATTAATTATTACAACTAATTATTCAGATAAAAATCACTAAAATATTAAGCACCACATGACACACATTACCGAGAATGTTTGCACATTCCACATGAAATGTGTTGGCTTATTTAAACTACCAATTTAAGGCCGTCAAAGACAGCTGTGGTAAACATAAATTTCAGCTACTAAATAAGAGAGTTCTGATGACCTATCATAAAATTAAATAGGATCTCGTAGTCAATAGTTAACTGGGAAATTTAAATGTACTACTTTGAAAAGCATGCACAGAATTTGCGGACATAATCTGAAGGCCCCAGAGCGTACTAAGTACAACGGAGGTCCCAAACCTTAGTGGAGTAGGCAGTATTTACGTTTTAACCCGGTCACTTCATTCATATTTATCTCCCACTTCTGCAATATGCTTGCAGTTACCTTCATTTTTCTTTTTGAAATCTATTCTCTCTAGTGCTGATGGAAATTATGAAGTTATGTGGCAGCCGAACGTGCTCCTTTCTTATGACGGTTCAATCCTCTGGATGCCTCCAGCCATCTATGAGAGCTCCTGCACAATTGATGTTGAATACTTTCCATTTGATGAACAAGAATGCGAAATGAAATTTGGCAGTTGGACTTATGACGCATCACAGGTAAATTTTGCATTTCCAGAGGTCCCTTGCCAACTGATTCGGCCTGAAACCGGCAGGTTTTTTCCCTAATTTTTCTGCCTAGACATTTTACTGGTACTTTCCATTGCCATTCTTTGCCTTGAGACAGGTTAGCTGAGCTTCTGCAGTGGCTGTTTACTCCGATGACTCCTCTGCTTTCCTGTTGGGTATGCTCGTTGTTTGACTGGCTCTGGCCGATCTTATTATGTTTCCTGTGGCCGCCGCAACCTGGGCTGCGCGCAGGTAATTAGGCAAGACTTTAAGCCAGAAATTAGATCGATCGGTCCCTTGGTTGAACTAACAACTGGAAGCAACGTTTTTGGCTTAAGTCATGCGTTCTGTGAGTTGCTCCGAGCCACGAATTACCTCAAGTGGATTGCGAAAATACACCATGTTTCTTCAATGTAATTTTTAATCTTAGAGTTCGGGTATATTCTCCGTGTTAGTCTTCTGTACTCATCCGGATTTCCCGGAGTAGTTGCCTCATCCCTCAGCGCAAGTTATTTTGTCATCTACTTTCTAGGCCAGGGCAACAAGACGCTATGTCATCCGACTGCAACAGATAGCGACGACTATGTCTAGAGACTATGGGCAATCTGTTTTACTGTATAGCAGCTACAATTCCCATGAAGGAATCAGAGAGAGGTAAATATGCTTTATTTTGAAAAAAGCATTCCAAAATTTTCAGCAAAAGCGTCTTCCATTCCGTAAAATAAAGCATATAAAACCACGCAACACCGAGGAATCACAAGCAGTGTCTAATGGCCAAGGAATGCAATTGTCGACATCGAGGTGAAATATCCTTTAATATGTTGCAAAATATAGGTCACATTGAACTTCCTTCCAATCGGCGCTAGCATAGTGTGCTGATGATCTCATTGGTGTAGTTTAAATAACAACTATGGGTAAAAATTAGTTTCTAATGGGTGTACCGGGCCAACCGATGTATACACAAGGACATTTTCATGCGAGTGGACGGAAGAAAATAAAATTGCGTCTCATTTCCAAAGGCCCACACATAACTAGTTGGTGACCATCCATTGCTTCTGCAATGGCTGTTTACTCCGATGACTCCTCTGCTTTCCTGTTAGGTATGCTCC